TTACAACTATACTACACAACAGCCATCATTCAGAACTGCCTGAAATCTGGCTGAATAGTAGTCCGACAACTAAGAAATTAAAAAAGAAGCTGCATTAAGACTGGTAGGAGTGGGGAGACATGGAAAAGCCTGATCCCACACCCAAGTGTGGCAGAGAAAAATCAGGAGGGAGCACTGGCCAGTCCTGTCAACCCATGCACTGAAGGGTCGCGGGTTTGATTCCCACTCAAAGGCATGCGTACCTGAGTTGCAGGTTCAATCCTCCATCTGGTCAGGGCTCGTGGTGCTGAAGGAAACCAATTGATGTATCTCTCTCACATCGATCATTCTCTCTCTTTCACCTCCCTCCCTCCCTCTCTCCTACTCTCTCTACAACACAATGGGAAAAATATCCATGGGTGAAGACAAAAAAAAAGATTAAAAAAAAAAGGTAGGGACATCTCAGCTGCAGAAGCCACACACCAGGCCCCTCAGCCCAGGGTTCCAGTGCCAGGAAGAGACGTCCCCATAACTTCTGGCTGTAAAATCCAGAAGGGATTGAGGTTGAGGGAGATTGATGCTGCTGGAGTCCCAGGCAGTTCTTCTTAAAGGGCCCCAAATGCACCAACTTAACTCAGACTCACTCCCTCTGAGCTCCAGTGCTGGGGCAGCAGCTTGAAAGGCACCAGAAACATAGAGGGAGGAACTGAATTGTTCAGCACAGGGTAAGAGAGCTGGGAGGGTGGCTTTCTCCCGTACAGAAGTGCTAGCAGAGGCCATTGTTCCTTTGATGAGCCCTTCCTCCACACAGAGCCATCAGCCGGGCACCATATCTGACACTCCATCACTGGCTATCACTGTTTGCCCCGCCCTGGTGATTCACTGAGGTCCTGCCCCACCCAACTTTCAGGCTCACCCAAGCAGTTTCCAGTGGCTCATGCTTCAGATTTTCCTAAAATCTCTCAAACAAGTAGCATCTGGCCTCAGCATGCCCCCTCTTGCTAAGTGGCTCAGTCCTGCACTAGCAGCAGCTGGCTTTGGTTTGCAGCTTTGCCTCACCTGGGCACCTCCAAGCCCACCACAAGTAGCAGCTATCTGCAGATCACTTTGTAGCTCATGCCATGTGGCCCTGGGCAGAACACAGGTGGCAGTTAGCCCTGGCCTGCACCTCAGGGGAGGCCCAGAGCCAGCGTACACAGTGGACAGCTTCAGATCATGTCAAAGTATTGCCACCCAGCAACCTCCACATGTGACACACTCAAGGGCTGGACTCCTCAGGCACCAGAGCCCTACTGAATAAGTCCTGCTCTGTGGGGTGGTGATCCACTGTGGTCGGAGATCAGTGGCCAGTGGTTGGTGGTCATAGCCAGCCCTTACAGCTGATCAGCCTGGGAATAAATCCCTCCCATTGATGTGCCAACAATAATCAAGGCTCAACTACATGAGGAGGATATACATAGCCCACATGGGGCACACCTCAAGTGCCCAGCTTGGGTGATCAGAGAGGCTGTGCCAGTGGACTCAGAACACCTGCTGCACTAGGCCAGTCTACCAAGCCTGGGAGACAGCAGCTCTGCTTAATATATAGAAGCAACACAGGGAGGCTGCCAAAATGAGGAGACAAAGAAACACGTCCCAAATGAAAGAAGAGAACAAAACTTCAGAAAAAGGACTACACAAAATGGAGACAAGCCATCTACTAGAGGCAGAGCTCAATGAACTAAGTGAAAACCGCAACAGCATAGAAAAGGACCAGCCAGAAGTGAAGGCGCACTAACTGAAATGAAGAGTAATTTACAGGGAATCAATAGTAGAGTAGATGAAGCCAAGAACCAAATCAGTAATTTGGACTATAAGTAAGCAAAAAACATCCAACCAGAACAGCAAAAAGGAAAAAGAATAAAAAATGAAAATAGTAGAAGGAGCATCTGGGGCAACTACAAACATACCAACATTTGCATCATGGGGATGCTGGAAGGAGAAGAGAGAGGGAGAGGGAGGGAGGGAGGGAGAGAGAGAGTGAGAGAGAGAGAGAGAGAGAGAGAGAGAGAGAGAGAGACAGAGAGCATATTTGAAAAAAATGACAGAAAACTTCCCTAACCTGGTGAAGGAAGTAGTCATACAAGTCCAGAAAGTACAAAAGGTCCCAAACAAGATGAACACAAAGAGGCCCACACCAAAATACAATCATAATTAAAATGTAAAAAGTTAAAGACAAAGGGAGAATCTTAAAAAGCAGTAAGGGGAAAGCAGTCAGTTACTTTCTACAAAGGAGCTCCCATAAGAATGTCAACTGATTTCTCAACAGAAACTTTGCAGGCCAGAAGGGATTGATAAGAAATATTCAAAGAGATAAAAAGCAAGGACCTACAACCAAGATTACTCTACCCAGCAAAGCTATTATTTAGAATCAAAGGACAGATAAAGAACTTCCCAGACAAGAATAAGCTAAAGGAGTTCGTCACCACCAAACCAATATTACATGAAATGTTAAAGGGTCTTCTTTAAGAAGAATAAGAAAGTAGGGCTGTTGGTGGCTGAACCAGGAAGCAGGCATTCAGAGGGAAGTACGTGGATTTAAGTCCCATGGGATTTATTGTAAGGTCTTTATCTATTTTTTAAAGTTTTTAAAAATATATTTTTATTTATTTCAGAGAGGAAAGGAGAGGGAGAGAGAGATAGAAACATCAATGAGGAGAGAGAATCATTGATTGGTTGCCTCCTGCACATCCCCCAGTGGGGATTGAGCCTGCAACCGGGGCACATGCCCGCACTGGGAATCGATCCCTGACCTCCGTATTCATAGGTCGAGCTCAACCCCTCAGCCACTCCAACCGGGCTTGTAATGTCTTTAACGTTTGTTTTTATTATAGCAGGTATCAGAATTTCATTGTTGAGGCTGAATAATATTCCATTGTATGTATATACCACATTTTGTTTATCCATTTATCTATACATGGACATTGAGGTTTCCACCTTTTGGCTATTGTGAGTAATGCTGCTATGAACATGGTTGTGCTGTGTATTGAATTTTTATGTTTATATATTATCTTTAGTAGATGATAGGAACAAGGTTTTATTAATCTCATTTCTACCCAGCATTTAGCAATGTCAGGAGTGTTGCATGTAGACTCTCAACATTGACATGTGAATGAAGAACTTATAGTTGATTTATTTTATTTTTATTTAAGAAACTAGGGGCCCAGTGCATGAATTCATGCACCTTGAAAGGAACTTTGGGCTGTGAGGCTGCGGGGGGCACAGGGGCGGGTCTCGGCCCATCCTCCGGGCCCTCAGCTGGCCCCTCCCACCACAGTTCCCAGTCCTCTGTCTGCTGGCAGCCCTGCTCCCACCACTGCTCCCAGGAGCTGACGGCATCGGCTCCGCTCGCACCCACTACTGGCGCCAGCCCCAATCGTTCAGCACCACTAGTGGGTGTGAGTGGCGGCTGCTGGCCCCGATCACCCCTCAGGAGCAGGGGGAGATGTAAAAGCCCTCAGGAGTGATCGGAGCCGGCAGCCGCTGCTCACACCTGCTGATGGCACTGAGCGATTAGGGCCAGTGCTGGGCGCTGGCAGCGGGTGCGAGCAGAACCAGTGCCAGCAGAAGGTGCAAGCGCTGGGCCGGACTGCAGCACGCGGGAGCAACGAATTTTTAGTAACCACCAGAGGCTCGCCACCGATGACAGAAACTGGCGCCCCATCTTGGTCTGGTGCCCCCACTCACCCACTCCACCATCCTGTTGTGGCCAATGCCTGCCATGTTCCATGCGCGCCCCCTGGTGGTCAGCACATGTCATAGCGACTGGTTGTTCGGTTGTTCTGCAGTTCGGTCTATTTGCATATTAGCCTTTTATTATATAGGATACTTGTATCATACAATCTAAATGCTTCTAAAAAATTAACTCATCTAATTTTACTGAAAACTGTGAGGTCTAAAACTACCATAAAGCCTGTTTTATAGATAAGGAAAGTGAGGCAGAGTTTATTTAGTGGTAGAGCTGGAGATTTGAACCCAGAGTAGGTCTTAACCCTTAGCCACCCTGCTATGATGTCTCCTCAGTCCAGTTGACTGGGCTGGCATATAATCCAGGTGAGTGGAAATTGTAAGAATTGCTAGGGGAATTCAGAAGAGAAACACTTCTCATAAATGCTCTTTTATGTCAAAATAGTGAGGACTGCATTTTAGATGCAGAGGAGTTTGGCTAGAAGGAAGATCTAGAAAGAACAAAGTAAAACACCCGCCTGCCCCCCCCAAACTATCCAACCAACCAAATCCAAACCTGCGATTTCCATGTGTGAAAACTATGGCGGAGATATGCAAACAATCTGAGCTGCAGTAGGGTGATTAGATGGTGATCAGAAACTGCTGGTGGGATGCGCCTCTCCCAAGTAGTACTTTCCAATCATGTTTCAGGCAGTGTATCGGCATTGTGTAGACAATAAAAGTGTGTTAGAAGAAAAAACTGTGGAAGCAGGTCCCTGAACTATGTAGAGAGGATGGTAAAGGGTGGTCCAGGAATATCAGATGCTGCTCCCTCACTGAACAGTGCAGTCCCTGCCCAGTTTGCTCCCCTTCATGTCAGCACCTGCAGCCCCTCATCAGAGTAGAGGGTCAGTCCCTGTTCCATAATAGGATGCTTGTTGTAACTCCAAGATGGTTCCTGTCTGCTGTAGGGCACAGATGTCCAGATCCATCCTTCATTTATTATATTCCTTTCCCCCATCCCCTCCCAAGGTGGGGAGGGCTGAGGAGTGGCTCAGGTTCAGGACGGTTGTCTGTGTCAGCAGTGCACAGCAGAATCATGCTTGTGTGGCCCTCCATTTAGCATCACCCCTTTGTGTCTGGTCCACTGTCGTCGCACCTACTCCACCTTTAACCAGCTCCTGGCTATAGCAAATCTGCTGCCTTCCTCTGGAGAGTGTCCCGTTTCAGTTTTTCTGTTCCTATTGGTTTCTAGCTCTGCACATGGTCACAGCTGCATCTATGTAAGTCTCACTGATGGTTTCTGACGTTCCCAGGTTCCTCGGGACAAGAGGCTGCTGTCTGTGAGCAAAGCAAGTGACAACCAAGAAGATCAGGACAAAAGGTACCGTGTTAGTTAAAGGAAGATGCCTGGCTTCCAAAAATCTCTTGTTCTATGTTCTTGTTTGCTTGTTTTTTGTTTTTCAAACAGCACTAACCTATAGGAGATAGGGTCATAGCCTCCTCTAACTGTCTTTGGGAGTCTGGGCCCAAACCCGATCTCTCAGTAGGGAGAGAAAATTGCATTTTTTTGATTGTGCATCCGAAGGGTCACCGGCAGGCTCTTGATATACCTACCCACTTCCGGGGAGGCTGAAAGTCCCCATAGTTAGATAGCCCACTGCCGAGGTGAGGTTTCTGCCACTCCCATGGCTGTGTCACTGTGATCAGGCTCCTGAGGGGGTCAGACACTTGGAGCTTGCTTTTGATAAGGTAGAGGAAGAGGCTCTGGGTAGCAGTGGACACTGTCAGGGAGGAGGCACAGGACAGATGTCAGGGAGATCATTACATAATACTCCTTTCCTGCAATTTGTATCATTTCAGTCTTGCCTTAGGTACGCTTACTCATCCGGTCTGTGGTGACTGGCGTGTCACCTCTTTTTGACCAAGATGATCCAGACATAAGGAGGAAACTAGAAGGGACTGAACCATCCTGCTCAGCTACTTCTGCCTAAGCGGCCAAATACATCTCTTCCACGGCAGAAGGGAGGGAGCCCCCACAGTATTTCTCAACTGCAGGTTTTTTCAAATGGAAATATGAAGCCAGGAGAAATGAAATCCCCTGCTGGCACTTAAGTCAGACTCTTACCTGGCCTTGATAGGGACTGCTTGTGACATTATGATCTTATTATATGACTAGCAGTGGGGGCACCCCACCAACTAGCAGCCCCAAGCTATGGCATCATCTCCAAGGTGTGCCCCAGCAGATGATTATGACTAGCTGCATCTGATTTGCAGATCCGCAGGGACCTGCTGATGCCCCATGCTGCCGTGGGCCCTGGGTCCCGGTTGGCAGTAGTGATGACAGGGAATAGGAGGCTGCCACTCTTTAGGCCCTGTAGCTTTTCCTCCATCTAGCCACTATTTATTAAGTGAAGACTATGCTGTCTGCAAGGTCCCATATCAGCAATCATAGAGGGATGGGGGTGCAAATGAGTCTCAGATGTGTACTCTGTCTGCATCATAATAGACAAAAGAACCATGTTTTAGGAAAGCATTTTTCAGAACACCTTTCAAGTGACAGGCGCTCATTGTATTTTAATGGTTATTTTTGTGATTTTAATGGAATACCTTTAAGAAAGCTGGCAGTGAGGAATGCACAAAACCACCTTGTATAGACTAATTGTGACTTAGTAGACGCTGGCTGAATGGAATTTGGGAGGATATCATTTGATCGGCGGTGCATTCATGAATTAAGGTGCCGCGTGCTAACATGATATCATTACAACTGCGTACAGAAGTTGCTTCTTTGGAAAACAGACTTTCAATGACATAATCCAAAATTACTTTTAAAAGTATTTTGAATGCACCACTCTTAGCATTGCATTTTTCTCCTTTTATAATATTTGGTTCAGTTTTAAATTATATTGCAGGTGAGTCGGTATCTCACAATAATTCTTACTTTGTTTTAATCATCCATTTTTGGGATGTTTTTCTAGAACAGTGGTTCTCAACCTTCCTAATGCCACGACCCTTTAATACAGTTCCTCATGTTGTGGTGACCCCCAACCATAAAATTATTTTCGTTGCTACTTCATCACTGTAATGTTGCTACTGTTATGAATCATAATGTAAATATCTGATCTGCAGGATGATTTTTAATTTTTACAAATTGAACATAATTAAAGCATAGTGATTAATCACAAAAACAATATGTAATTATATATGTGTTTTCCGATGGTCTTAGGCGACCCCTGTGAAAGTGCCGTTTGACCCCCAGAGGGGTCGCGACCCACAGGTTGAGAACCGCTGTTCTAGACGTTCTCCTGCATCAGCTTTGAAAGGCAATGCTGTTCTACAGAGGCCCACCTGCACGTTAAAGAATGCTGCTGAGCCTGCTATCTCCTCATCCTATAATAATGACTCAGCTAGGTTTATACAACTCCATCGTTTGCTCATCTCTAAGAACACCAAAGATCTCCTGACTTACGTTTTTGTTTAGAATTCCGGCATTTTATATGATTTAAAGAATTAAGAAATGGCCGAAACCGGCTTGGCTCAGTGGATAGAGCATCGGCCTGCGGACTGAGGGGTCCCAGGTTCGATTCCGGTGAAGGGCATGTACCTGGGTTGCGGCCACATCCCCAGTAGGAGATGTGCAGGAGGCAGCTGATCGATGTTTCTCTCTCATCGATGTTTCTAACTCTCTATCTCTCTCCCTTCCTCTCTGTAAAAAATCAATAAAATATATATTTAAAAAAAAAAGAATTAAGAAATGTGGACGAAAATGAACTCTTTACCTATAGAGGAGTTGGTTAACTTGTCATATTTTGGCAAAGCCATTAAGACTACACTAGTTCCAAGCCCAGAGGAGTGGAAACTGGGTAATTGCTTTGGTAGCTAATAAATGTAGACCAACACTTCTACACTCAACTTGCAGGACATTACCCACCAGTATTAATAGTTAATCCTCCACAAAAAGGTCTGGGGTAAAATGGCTTTCAGAAATTCTGGGTTACAATTAAACAGGTGAAGGAACGCCTGGGGGGCCTTTACCTTGTTCGTGGTGTTTGTGACCCACCAGGGTGGTCTTGTTATGGCAAAGAGTTTTTTTGTTTTGTTTTAATGCTGATTTTATCATGGACTCCTTTCTTTGAGGAACATCTATTAACATTCCATGCACATGTTCTAAATAATGGGGCTTAGGAAATGCTGATATAAATGGGTGGTCTGGGTTTTGGCATCCTCCAGCTAACTGGATTCAGATTAAACATAATTTCTTAATTTTCACTGTGTCCTCTATACAGATTCAGCGCTTGATTTGGCCACGAAAGCAGGTTATTACTTAAAGCCAGAATGTTTGTAGGCTTGCGATTTTATTCTTTAAAGGGTTATTTTCTAGAATGATTTGTACAGATCTGTGACAGACTCAGAGAAGTGTAGATATTTTTTCTGTTGGCTGTGTTCATGCAGAGCTATTCTTTCCTCCAGCTTCACTTTGAAGTTTTATCTGAAAAATCAAAGCTGAAATACCAAGTCCTGCTTGAGAGTTAGGCAAGCTCAGAAGCGAATGGGCTTCCTTTATAGAGAGGAGCCAAGAGAGCTCAACTCTTGGGAGAACCAATTTTATTAGAATATCTCTCTGTGAGAGATGCTGGGAAGCCCTACAAGGAACATGCTAGTTTAAATAAAGCAGACATCGGGGACAGGGCTCCATGCAAGACATGTATTTTCTCTGGATATCCATCAGAGTAATCAATAAATAAGTGAGAGGTGGCCTCAGATTTTACTGACCACAGACACTTTGCTAGTAAAATCATTTTGTTACCAATAATAATCTTCCATTAACCAGTCTCTCTCTGCTTCTGCTCTCTCCCAGAATTCTTTAGTATAAATGAAAATACTTTATTCTAGCCTGGCAAGAATTAATTTTCTAAATCCTCTTTTCTCTTTGTACCAGCCAGGAGGTCTGAGATCTGAGAGATCTTCTTTTACAGTTACACCACTTCCTTAAGCCCCGAATGTAATTCAGTGCTAAGGCTATGAGTGAGCTCATGTTACTCCTTCATTTAGTGAAAATATTTAAGTGATAAAGTCTCACTTCTTACTTTTCCTACAATTTCTAAATTTTAGTGTAGTCCATAGGGAAGTGGAAAATATCCTTCTCACCCGCCCTCAAATGACCATATTAGTTCTCCTGCCTTTTTTAATAAAACTATTTTAAAATGTTTTCTTTTGAAAGTTTTTAAACATCTGCAGAAGTAAAGAGGACCATGTAGTGACCCCCAAATGCCCATCTGATCCTCTTGATTCAGCAGTGATAACGTTTGTTACACTTGCTTAATCTCTACCTTTTCTCTTCCCTTCCTTTTCTTTTTCCGATGGCAATAGAATTTAAAATAAGTCATGTCATTTTACCGCAACTCCTTCTGATTTGTATATCTAAAAAAACCCAGGACACTTCATTACATAATCTCAAAATCCTTACCACCCCTAACTAAATTAACATATTTCCTTAATATCACCTAACGCCCAGTCCATATCCAATTGCCTCAAAAATCCTGTTGCCTCATAAATGCCTCTTTGGTTTGTTCAGAGCGAGATCCAAACAAGACCCTCTCATCATATTTGATTGTTATGCCTTTTTACATTTCTGCAAGTCTAGAGTAAGCCCCCCATCCTTCTCCCTTTTTCGTGCCTCTGACTTACTGAAGAAACCAGGTCAGTAGGACGTGCGTGCGGCATTCTGGTTTGTCTGATCGCTTCTTTATGATGTTGGCTAAGTCTTTCTTCCAGCTCCTGTGTTGCCCGAGAGCTGGAAGTTAGATGTAAAGGCTTGCTTAGAATTAAGGTCAACTTCTTTTATTTTTTTTTAAAGTAGTAGCACTTGCTAGGTGGGGCTGATTGCAAGAGGCACACACGTGTAGTTGTCCTCCTAGGGATGCAGAGAGCCTTTGGATCCCATTGTGAAGTTCGCCGTCAGCCTTTCCTCTGATGATGATACGTTCATACCCACTGATCATCGCCTGCAGCCGTTATTTTATCAAGGGTTGCAAAACGGCGAGCTCTCTAACTCTATCCTATTTTGGGGTGGGTTTCAACACACAGAAACTGTCTTGGCACCAGCGAAGCCCAGAGTAACTTGAGCGGAGGAGAGAACCGAGTCCAGGTCCTAAAGACTGTCCCCGTGAACCTGTCCCTAAACCAAGACCACCTGGAGAATTCCAAGCGGGAGCAGTACAGCGCCAGCGTCCCCGAGAGCCCGGCCATCATCCCCGTGTCGGGGATCACGGTGGTGAAAGCCGAAGATTTCACGCCAGTGTTCATGGCCCCGCCCGTGCACTATCCGCGGGGAGACGGGGAGGAGCAGCGCGTGGTGATCTTTGAACAGACTCCGTACGGCGCGCCCGCCATGGCCAGCCACACCTACCTCAAGGATGACCAGCGCAGCACCCCGGACAGCACCTACAGCGAGAGCTTCAAGGACGGAACCTCCGAGGTAAGTCCCCGCGCTCTCGTTAGTAGCAAGAACCCAAATCCAGAACCCCCAGCTAAGTTCATTTTAAATTTAGAAACAAATTTTATTTAAGATCTGTTGAATTTTTTTATTTCTTAAAAATGTTTTTATTGATTTTAGAGAGTGAGGAAGGGAGAGGGATAGAGAGAGAAACATCGATGAGAGAGAAACACATCCATCGGCTGTCCCCCACTGGGGATCAAGCCACAGCCGCCACCAGGCATCCCAGGAAAGGGTCCCCACTGGGAATCGAACCAGTAACCTCTTGGTTCAGGGGTCCAACGCTCACCCACTGAGCCAAACCGGCTGGGCCCCTCAGCTAACTTTTGTTCTCTATTTCCTTTTAAAGTGGGATAAATGAATTGAACTGTGAGTTGACGGCTATTTTTAAAAATGTGTTTGTGTCTTTTATTAGGAGCAGGTTTTAATAAACCATTGGTCTAGGTATGTGGAGGAGGAATATTTTTTTTTTGACGCTTAGCTGACAGATTCCTTTGTTTTAGTTTTGATCTTAAAAATTAAATATTTATAAGGAATGAAGAAATTTTTGTGTGGAAACTTCCTATTTTTTAAAGTGTTTGCCTTGACCTCTTCTAGTTTGTAACCTTCCCAAAGGGTAGCTAAAGTTGTCTGCCTATGCTTTTAAAAAACAATATAACTTTTTTCGACCTTGTCTGATTGAATATTCAAGAAAGAATTTGTATTTTCAATAATCAAGTGTGTGTATATGTACTTTGTACCTATTCTTCTCCTGTGCCCATAGAGTTTACAGAAACAGTGATCTCTGCTTGCTTGTTTGTTTAAAAATCACTCCACATGGGAATGTGAGGTACATGCTTTTTCACTGAAGGGCTGCCCTGATGTTTTTCTTACATGGTGTAGAAATATTCCATTAGTCACAGAAGAGTCCGTGGATGTTGTCCAATGTCAACGAACCATCATGCTATTTGGGGGATGTGTTATCAGTTGTGTTTGTGTTGTAGATAAAGAGGCTGGTGAAAGGAAGCTATTGTATTTGGGGTTTTATTTTTAGGTGCATGAGAAAGTAACTTACCAGAAACTATATATGAAGATTATTCCCACTGTATTTGGAATATTTGGAATATTTGAACTACTCTCCTGGTCTTGGAAATCGGTGTTTACCTTGCATATTGTATTTCAATCTGATGTGAATTAAATGGAATGCTCTATTATGATCTTGAGCTGTGGCGTTGCCAACAGGCTATAGATTAGGTGAGCTCAGTAACCTCACCAAGTAAATTTCACTAAGGAAAATTCGTCTAAAATCTAGTATTCCTTTAGGAATATTATTAAAATGTCTAAGACCCTTGTTGAATGAGCAGGTTTCGTTCGCTAGTAGAGACTGACTCGTGTGTGTGTGTGTGTGTGTGTGTGTGTGTGTGTGTGTATAGTGGTATCAGGAAGGGAGTAGTTTGGCCTAAATAATTAAGAAATATATAGATGCGCTACATCAATGGCGACGTTGGCTGTCTGCTTGCCTTTAGGCATCCTACAAATTATATCGAAAGATTTCCAAACAGTTGTGAAAACTTGGTAACTGTAGCCAGAATGGCCTAACATTTTGGTTCTAATTCTTCATACTAAATCATTTAGGGCCATGTGACCCATTAGTGTGAGCATGTCTCATAAAGGATGGTGATAGATCCCAAGTGGACTCTACATTTAATTTTTTTTAAATTTGAAAGACAGTGTAACAGAATTAAGGGAAAAAATTTAAACTTGAGAATAGTAATTCTGTGTCTAAAACATATAAACTTTTTTTTCATAGTTCTTGTTCACATGCACTAATAGTTATTGGAGCGATTCTTCATTTCAGTCAGCATATAGACAAATCTCTTTGAGTCTGAACAGTTGTAGTATATCACACCTTTTCATATCACCCGGGGATTAGAATCATAGACGTTACAAGTCCAATATGTTTTAGTAGGGTAGCCTATCCTCAGGCTGCAGAGCTCTATGGCATGGACAATAAATTTATTCAAGGCCATGTTTATTAATTCTGGTTCACCCTGTGTTGTTGCAGGTTATTACATATTCCTGCAAAGACTTTAGAAATGCATCCCCTCTATCTCTAAAATACTTCCTTAAATATATTTTTTATCATGCTATCCTCATACTCCAATTTTCCTAATTCTTAACTGAACTAAGTATAAATACCTTTTCATAAATTCGTCCTGTCCAATAGAACTTTCTGCAACGATGGAAATTGTCTTTTATGCTGTCCCAGATGGTAGCCACTACTTCCATGTGTCAGTGTAGTATTTGGTCGACTGAGGAACTGAATGTTTAACTTTATTTAATTCTAATCAACTTCACGTTTGACTAGTGGCTAGTGTAGACTTTCAGGTCCTTCCTTCATAACCAGGGCAGGCCTATGTCCTTGACTCCATCTATGTACCACATTTGTACCTATCATTTTGTCTTGAATCATGGTGGTCCTCTCTCACCCGGATTACTTTCTTTTAATTTCTTCAGTAAAGGGTTCTCTTTGGCTCCAAGGGTCGGAGCAAAGTTCACAGTCTCCATGAAATCTTCTAATATTGCTGGTTTTCCTTTCCTGGCAATGCCCATTCTGTGCTTTTCCAGTCAGGACACCTGCATGAATAAGTGAATGATTCAACATAGTCATTTGCTGTACTTTTGTTCTTTTGTTGTTTTTCATGTGAATTTACCCACCAATTTTTATCTCTCCAAGGACAGTGCTGTATAGTTTTTCTATATTTCTCCTGGCACCAAGATGATAAAGCCTCAAAAAATTCCCATTAAATGCTTTGCTGATTGATTGATTGATTATAAAAGAAGCTTAAATCTGAATCTTTGATTCTCTGTCATGAACACATGGCTTCTCAAATAGCCTCCCGGAACAAATTAAGTTAAAAAAATCGAGGTTCCACTGTATAACGCTTACTGTTCTTATACTTCATTCGCATATTTAGCCCTTCTAATCACTATAAGCAGGCATTTTTCAGGTGGAGAAAGTATGGCCCTTGCTTCAGTTCACACAGCCAGCAGGCAAGAGAGCTAGAACTTGACCCTACACAGTCCTGCTCTAGAAACTATGCTCCAAACCACTCTACTATAATGCTTGGACTATGATGTGTATAATTCCTGTTCCAGTAACTCAGATTCTCTGACTTGGAATAAGCATTAGAGGTAATAGAAAGTGGAAGAGATGTTTTATATGTTTGAGGAAACAGTTTCCAGAACCTGCAAACACTTTAAGAACACCTGCAGACACATGAATAATACACAAAGTACAAATGCTTTTTGTTGAGGGCAGTTCCCATCGTGCGGGCGATGTGTGGGTTTTGCGCACAAATGGCAGCCCTTTTCGCTACAGCTGGAAATGTAATACCCAAAATATGTAATTGTCCTTTCTAAGGTGAGGACAAAACAGTTTGGATACGTTTATCACTTTTTAAAATGTGTAATAATGACTCACTTCTTGGTTTTAATTTCTATAACTTGGATATTTTGTAGAAATTTCGGAGTGCTTCAGTCGGGGCCGAGGAATACATGTATGACCAGACATCAAGGTAGGTTGCCAGGAGATGCCCCTGCAAACTGATGAATGGATGAGCCTTTAAATGTACCCCCAAGCCCTAGCTGGTTTGGCTCAGTGGGTCGCGACCCCTTTGGGGATTGAACGACCCTTTCACAGAGGTCACCTAAGACCATTGGAAAACACATATATAATTACATATTGTTTTTGTGATTAATCACTATGCTTTAATTATGTTCAATTTGTAACAATGAAATTGGGGGTCACCACAACATGAGGAACTGTATTAAAGGGTCGCGGCATTAGGAAGGTTGAGAACCACTAGGCTAGAGCGTCAGCCTGCGGATTGAAGGGTCCCAGGTCTGATTCCGGCCAAGGGCATATAATAGTACATGCCCGGGTTGTGGGCCCAATCCCCAGTAGGGAGTGTGTGAGAGGCAGCCAATAAATGATTCTCTCTCATCATTGATGTTTTGATGTTTCTATATACCTCTGTCTCCCCCTTCCTCTCTGAAATCAATAAAAATATATTTTAAAAAAAAGAAAGTAAATGTACCCCAAGTTATACTTTCTAATCTTTTAAAAATATATATATATATATATTTTTATTGATTTGAGAGAGGAAGGGAGAGGGCTAGAGAGATCCCTGAAATTATATTCAGAACCATTTATGTTCATATGTGCTTTTTTCTGGGAAGAGGGCTCACAGCTTTCTTCTCATTTTCAAACAGCCTGTGCCCTCGACAAGGTGCAAGCTACTGGTGTAGGCAGTCCTGAATATCCTGTCCAGGCCACGAATTTTATGATTCAGTGGCTATATGGAATTGCTTATACAAAATGACAGTGGAATTGATTCTGTCTTGAATGATTTATTTCCCACCTTGGTCTAAGACATATTCTGGAATGTTTTTAGTTTATCAGCTTAAACCTATGATTTTTATCATGTAAGAGGAATATTATTCTGTCCTTCAAATTGTTTCTCATTATAAAAATTAGACATTGCAAAAATGTTCAACATAGGAAGCAAGAGTTGCCAATAATCTTGTAAGCCATTTTAAGGGCTAAAAAATAGTTAGACTCAATGAAGAGATTCTGATGATTCAGAAAATACAGTTTTTGTTATTGTGTCATCAATGTTTGCCATCCTGTGGTGTAGCAGCAATAAATATTTCTGAATGAGCATGTTTAAAGAGATTATGATTCATACCTGCTGCTCATTTTAAACAATTGATTTTTTCTTCCAAGTTGGGAAAATGAGTGTTTTTGTTTTTTAAGTTAAACCATATTTTTAAAATATTAGGGAAATCATTTAGAGCGATCATTTGCAACCATTTTCTGTAATGGCTATCTAGTAAATATTTTAGATTTGGTGGCTTGCAGTCACAGCCACTATGCAGTGTGAAAGCAGCCATGGAGAAGCACCATCCACATTCACTAAACAAAGGAATGTAGCTGTGTTCCAATAAAACTTTATTTACAAAAACAGTCAATGAGCTGGATTTGGCCCATGGACCATTGTTCACATATACCTGTCATGAGTGCTTTTGCAGGCTTAGGAAACAAAACACAAAAATAAAAAAAAATACTCCCTGTTATGGAACTAGATGTTTAGTAATGAATGTTTAGTAGTTTTGAGTTTTGGTTTTCACATTTTGAAGTTTTTAAAAGTAGAATATATTTGCAATATCTTGGTGAGACAAACAGACGGCGATTTACATGTATGTGAATTGAACAAAAGCATTCACACATCTGGTTTGTGACTAGGATAAAAGTGGCAAGCTCTATAAGTTCTTCAACTTCAGGCATTGTGTATTGCCAGCTAAGGCCCAACAGAGGTTTTCCTAGCACGGCCTCGCACCATTGGCCAGGCACGTCATGGACTTCCTCCCCGCCTGGTTTATGAGCCCCTATTAAAAATGTTGTCTGTATACATTGTGTTAGCAGTGACCTTTGGTCTGGCCTCATCTCTTTTGCCATCTGTTGTGTTTTGTCTCTGAAACAGAGTAAATATTGGTTAATATTCATACCAAGTGATAATCAATGTGAAATTGATCAGTAGTGTTCAAGTGAGTGACTCTGACCACTGCTTGTTTTCTGTTCAACAGCGGCACGTTTCAGTACACCCTGGAGGCCACCAAGTCTCTCCGCCAGAAGCAGGGGGAGGGCCCCATGACCTACCTCAACAAGGGACAGTTCTATGCCATAACGCTCAGCGAGACGGGCGACAACAAATGCTTCCGACACCCCATCAGCAAAGTCAGGGTACGGGCCGCGTTTCTCCAGGAAATCAGAGGGATCCGAGGAATGCAGTTTCTACCTCAGGGCCTTGTGGGAAGGGTGTGGAAAACAATTCTAAAATAAATAACTCCAGAACAAATGTTAGAGAGTTGGGGCAAGAGAACTGATTGGCTCGCAGTTTATCATTTTAATCAGTAACCAATAAGCCCCGGGCAAGGGAGGCGGTTGGAACATGCTTTCCGAACGTATCCAAGGAATTTTCCCAGCTTCATTCATGGCCTGTGTGCTACCTCGCTGCTGCTGCTGCTGTTGTTTGCAATCAGTTGGTTTTAATTTTTCCAGTGAGTAGCCGTAAGTCAGAACATTTTTCTCAATATTTGCTGCTGCTTTCTTTTCTGTAAAGGAGGATGCAGTTCATCTGTGTCCCTGGAGCCTTTTGGTTAAAAGCCCTCGCAGCCCAGTGCTTCCTCAGGAGCCAAGGGGCGAGGCATGCTATGACCCCTCCCAGGAGTGACATGGAGGAATGTTCACGTTCGTGAGTGTTAGTCCTATTTGTGGGAAATGAAAGTGCCCTGGAAGCCTGCCAGCTTCTGGCACTCTCGCTCCTACCAAGAGAGGGAGGGAACTGGTAATCCTTCTCTACTGAAAAGGAAAAGAATAGCAGAGCTCTGAAAAGAGGTTGCAGGACTCTCCCGCCCTGTTGTAAAATGATTTGTGCTGCCAGTGTGTAAAATGCTACGGAGGAGAAATTATGAAGGAATATAAATCAATGAAATATTCTTGTGGAGTGGTGGGGAAATGTCCACTAGGAAGTATTTTGGATATGGAGTGAGAAGGGAGAGTCATATCCCTGAGACTGTAATTAGGGGTTCTTTGGTCTTGTTTATTTGTTTGGTTTTGGTGCCTTCTTCATTGTCTAAATGACAGCGAATTATCACAGACAGTATTTAGCTTAATGAGGCTGTTTATCATTGAGAACCGAAAGGAGTTTTTGGATGATTAGTTTCTCAAGCTCATTTTTAAAGCACATCACACATTGTATTGAAATAAAAAACATAGTGGATCTTGCATCTTTTGGTCTATGAAATAATCTGTGATGTACATCTGTATTCATCAATATGAACTCATCTTTTACTGTTCTTCTCATTACTTTAGCATTTCTCTCATTAATCCAGTATTCCAGCCTCAGGCACTTAATTAGGCCGGAAACTGATACTTCCGCCTTTATAAATGGTGCCAGATTCTATATTTAAGATAAGAAATTTCAAAAATATGCTTCTTTTTAGTACAAGAAAAATTTATTTTTTGTATTTCTACTTACCTCACAAAATATTAAATTTTCTGGTAATTGGTTTATCTGGTTGTTTATGACTCAGGGTAAAAATGATGTAGGATTTTTTTTTCTATGTGCTGTTCTCATTTCCAATCATTTTTTTAAACATATTTTTTATTGATTTCAGAGAGGAAGGGAGAGGGAGAGAGAGATAGAAACATCAATGATGACAGAGAATCATTGATCGGCTGCCTCCTCCATGTCCCATACTGGGGATCGAGCCTGCAACCTGGGCATGAGCCCTGAGGGGAATCAGACCATGACCTCCTGGTTCATAGGTTGATGCTCAACCACTGAGCCACGCTGGCCGAGCTCCAATCATTTTTTTAAGTTGGCTCATTTTAAAACAAAACCATGTAACTGAGCATGTCTGGGCTTTTGTAAAGCGAGAAAAGCCGCATTTCAGAAATGCACCTCTGGTAGGACTTTCCGAATGGAGACCGTGCAAGCAGCAACCGAGGCCCAGAACAAAAAGTAAGTTCCGTTTTTCTCGCCTCTGCAGAGCGTGGTGATGGTGGTCTTCAGTGAAGACAAAAACCGCGACGAGCAGCTGAAGTACTGGAAATACTGGCACTCCCGGCAGCACACGGCGAAGCAGAGGGTCCTCGACATCGGTGAGTTGGCCTCGGCCTCCCTGCGCGGTCTGTGGTGAACCGACAAGTTGTCATGATGCACAGGAGGTCCCCAGCACGGAAGTCACAGCCAGGACCCACACAGCTCTCATGATGTGCCAGGCACCAGACTAGGCACTTTTCCTTAGTGGGTCCATTTAGTGAAAATCAGGCTGAGAAATAGAAATTGGGCTGAGTGCAAAGCACTTTCAATTTATGAAAGTCAACTGTGTCCCATCAATAATAGTAATATATTAGATGTGCAAGAACCGTGTCCATTTCTAAGCAGGTGATGTGAACTCTGATCCCTCTGTGAGGTGAACGACCAGGCTCGGTTGGCTGTAGGGTACATGCCTGGATAGTGAGTTCCAGATCTCTAATTCTCCATCCAGTGTTGCTTCACTCTAACACATGTCTCGTGCTAATAGTACTGCGTGGTCAGGCAGTGAAACCTTCGAGAGACCTTCCCTGCCATTAAGAAGTACTGAATGTGCCCAGTACATCTTCTGGAGTCCGTATAGTCCTAAGCACAATGTCTGTTCCCTAGAGACCTGTGGTCCCTCGACGAGACTCAGGGTCCAGGCAGGGGAGCAGAGCCCATGCCAAGTGGAGCCGTGGAGGGAATTTGTTGCAAAGGTTGGAAGGGCTGGAGGCACCATGAGGCAATCCAGAGATGAGCAGCTGCAGGAATCTGCTGCTCTTACCTGTAGGGTTGAGGATCAAAAGGAGGAGGTGGTGGGTGTTAGAGGTGCCACCCAGAAAGAACTGGGACTATGATGGGGGCTGCCTCACAGGAGCCGTGGCCACAGAGGGACCTGCTTTCCAAAAGGAGGTAGAACTCCAGGGGAGTTTCTGCAAAGACTCCTCTCAGTGCCAAGATCAGGGAGGCGAAGGCGTGCCCAGCGCTCTCTGCCTCCTGATCTCCCACAAGTGCTTCCCAACAAAGGCAGTTTCAGAATCAGCCTCTGAGACCCAGAGTAAAGCAGGGAAGTCAGGATTGGATCTTACCGTTTCTAGGAATTACTTAAAAACACAGGCAGTAATATATGTGTCTGGAAGTAATTTTTAGCATGTTCCATGCTGTTTCCACAAGCAATAAGTAATTTCTCATGTGTAGGCTTTATTACTCCGTTCTGCTGACCAAGAGGCTGCAGTCCCAACGAATGCAGAGAAAGTGGAGGTTCTCATTGTGTCGAGTACCAGAAAGTATTCCTGAGCAATTACATTAGAAGGATGTTTGCACACATTCTACCTTCTCCTTGCTAGAACCCTATGATCAATGGCAGAGAGGTTAGTGACTAGGTTAGGGTGAGAGACTCATTGTAGAGCATATTAAAACTAATTACTGGTTTATCCTGCAAAACGTCTACGCCACTCTTTACCTCACACCACACACACACACACACACACACAAAGTGCACACACCCACAAACATGTATCTTCTATTAACGAGTCCCACATCTTTATCTAATAAACAAGGAAACTGAGCCTAGAGAGGCCTGTTGACCTACCATCCTAGGTGACTTGTCCCCATTAATTAGTGCGAGAGCTGAGATAAGAACTGTCTTGTTCCCCCAGGTCATACACCAAACCTCCAAGACGGACTGACTAGGACAAGGGTTTGAAGATACTTGCCTTAACCTGCTTGGTAGCCAATCTGCATGGTGCAGAGGAACAATTTTATTTTATTTGAAAAGTTAGCCTTATAATTATTACCCAAGAAAATGAGAGGAGCAATTAAATAGAAATGTGGCCTAAGTCCAAATAAGGCAAATAATAAAAGCGTGTGACCGGCATACCTGTTTTTTCAACTTTGATATTATTACAAGGTTTACTTTTCTTAGACCAGAATGATTCCTCAGCTCCCATAGGACTTCAGATCTTAGCTCTCTTCTTTATTGCCTCCTGCCTGCCTTCAGACTTTTCTCTCATATCATCCTACACACACACACACACACACACACACACACACACACGCTCATGCGCACCCACTGGGTGAATGACAAGTGGAGTGACCTCGTTTAGCACAGTGTGAGCCACTGGGAAAAATATCTGAAACGAGACAAGTCACAGAATGAACTGGACTACCGATCAAGGCTACCCAAACAGTGGATCATTCCCAAACCACTTTCAGGGGCAGGCGCATTTTTCTATTTATTCCCTTTCAAGCAGAGAAGGAAAATTAGACGTTCGATAATTAATATTAACTTCATAGAAGGAAAGCCAGAAGCCACAACAGATAAACGGAGGCACATTCACCTGGACTTTCCTTCTGGTGAATGCAATTAAGAGTTACTTTACTGCTTTGCCACGTAGATGTTCTGAAAGAATGGAGGTGGCTGCTTTTGCATCTTCAGAATGGGTGGTCTGGATTGTAAGGTACGCAGACGGATTCCACAAGCATATACAAATAAGCATTATTACTTGAGGGTCACATGCAGTGTAGCCATTAATGATATAATTTTGTAGTTAAATTGTGAAATCAACCCTGTGCCTCTTCAGTCAAACTCTCTTTCATTTGGGTTCTCAGTAACCTCTCCCTGTAGGTGATGATAATACATCAGAATGTACGAGTTACATTGTTAATATTAATCCTATAATTTTTCCACGGTAATTAGCAGGCAATTATAGCACATCTTTGGCTATTAACATGTGATTATGGGATTTTCATCTGTGCCCTCTTACAGATCTATTTCTTAAGAGCCAGTTTTTAAATTGTGCCCTGTTGATAGAAGTTTTACTATATTAAGTTAAAGCTTTCCATGAAAACATCAGTTCCAACTAAATCGACACATTTCTTCAAGTCTCTTTCTAAATAGTTTTCTCTGAGAGTTCAAATAAAAGCCTGTGAGAAGACAGGTACGCTGACCACTGGGGATTACTCAGCCGGCGGATCTGTCCAGGGGGAGGAGCTCTGTCGTCTGGAGTCATACTCCACTTTCACATACAAGTTGTGATTACAATTAAGTAACACGTCGTGTCCCCCTGTCCCCTCCCCCCCCCCCCCCCCCCCCCCCCCCGGCTCTGGCTGTGTCCTACCAGTGAGCTTTCTTGCAGTTTTCATAGCTAAATCTGGGCTGGGCTGGTCAGAGCTGTGCAGAAAGTGGGAGGGTGGAGATTGGGGAGGCAGACTGGGGAGGCGGACTGGGCAGGCAGCTGCCATCTTCCAGAAAGTCAGGTAGCCAGGGAGTCAGCATGAACTCATGGTCCAGATGGGCCTAGGAGACAAGAGTGCCCTGCAACTCACCTCTCTTCACCGAGGTTCCCCACCCTGCCTTTCAGTGTTGGTCCTTGGAGGCCTCTCCTCCCCCAGGATTGTACAAACCTGCTCTGTCCCTGCAGGTGGGTAAGGGCCGGCGACCTTCCTTTACCAAGAGCCCCAGTAAATGGAATTGTGATTTCTGATGTTTTCCTAGACTGTCTCCACACTTCCAAGCAGATATGAAAAGTAAAACGTAAATTCAACTCAAAACAAAACCCCTTGAGAACTGCCGACTTAAAAATAACAACCACCACCAAACCCTCAGGGCTGGTGAGAGTCCAGGCAGAGTGAGAGCTAAATTAGGACAGGACCTTGGTCCCGCCTCCTCCACTGCAGGGAAGAGCCGGGCGTGCAGCAGGCACTGTGTGGGCCCGGGTCCCGCTGTCTGTCCTCGGCTCTCAGTGTGGGCACAAGCTCGCCTGGCCTGAGGCACCCTCTGTTTTATAGACATGTGCCAGAGCCACAGCTACAGGACATTCCTTTTCGTCTTCAACTTCAGTTAGAAAACATTTAGGTGATAAAAGTACGGTGGGCTATTTAGGTTATATATTTTAAAACATAAAGTGCAAGTATTTTTAAAAGTTTAGTCTTAGGTCAGGCAGATTTTCAATGTTTGAGCCATGGTGGGTTTTTAGTTATTACATGCACGTTTCTGTGTGAGTCCTAAAAGCTCATCTTGTTGGAGACAACAGCTTTTTGGGGGGGGATGTGGGGGTCACTTCCTCCTCAGCAGGTGTGCCTGGGGGATCGGGGTGTCCTGATAGAATTTTCTAGATACTCTGGAAAGGGTCCAGGACAACGCCATGGTTCACCAACAGCCCATCCGCCCAGGTCCTGATCTTTGCAGACTTCCTTTCAAGCTATTGCTGGGTCTTCCTCTTTCTTCCACTTTGTGTTTCTTACGAGAGGAGCCCACTTCCTCCCCTACACCCTAACTATTACTCATGTCTCAATCCAGTGTAACATATTTTTTATTAAAATTTCTGAACGCCAAACCTATAGGCCTATTTTGCCCCTCGCCAGATTTTCTAGTTACTTCCTATCTCTCCTTTGTTCCTCCTTCGAGGCTGCCCTTGCCTAGACTAGCCCTCCCCCCTCCTTCTTGACCTGGTAGGTCGTTTACCCCTTCAGAACTCGTTCCCCTGTCCCCACTGGGGGAGATCTTCCTGATCTTCCAGGCAGAGGTATCCACTCCCTGCAGGGTTTTGGTTTCTATCCAGGGGTGGGCAAACTTTTTGACTCGAGGGCCACAATGGGTTCTTAAACTGGACCGGAGGGCCGGAACAAAAGCATGGATGGAGTGTTTGTGTGAACTAATATAAATTCAAAGTAAACATCATTACATAAAAGGGTGCGGTCTTCTCTTTTTTTAGTTTTATTCATTTCAAACAGGCCGGATCCGGCCCGCGGGCCATAGTTTGCCACGGCTGATCTAGACGGTAGCGCTTGGCCATGTTTCACTTGGTTTAACATTTTACATTCTGTCCATCACACTAGATGCTGAGCTTCTTGACTGAGAGAGGATTTTTATTTTTTTAGCTGTGCATACCCAACACCTGCTGGAGAGCCTGGCACAGAACAGATGCTCAACCAGTGTTGACTGGCTGATGAACACCACGTGTGGTTTTGTGTATGTAGGTAGCACTGTGGTAGCAGGCACGCGCCTAGCTAGCTGGGAAATCAGGCTGGGTCACGCTCGCTCCTGTGCCTTTCTGAAAGAATCAATTTTGATTGTAGTTTT